AGCAAGACCCCGTCTCTACTAAAAATAGAAAGAAAAAATGAGCCGGGCATGGTGGCCCAGGCCTGTAGTCCCAGCTACTTGGGAGGCTGAGGCAGGAGGATCGCTTGAGCCCAGGAGTAAGAGGTTGCTGTGAGCTAGGCTGACGCCAGGACACTCACTCTATCCTGGGCAACAAAGTGAGACTCTGTCTCAAAAAAAAAAAAAAAAGAGAGAGAGAGTGTCTGGTATTGGTATAAAGATAGACAAACAGATTAATGGAACAGAGAGTCCAGAAATAGATCCACACACATATGGACAAGTGAGTTTCAATGAAGCTGCAAAAGTAATTTAGTGGAAAAAGGACAGTCTTCAACAATGGTGCTGAACCACTGTATATTCGTATTTTAAAATTCTCAATTTACACCTCACATTGTAAACAAAAATTAACTGAAAATAGATCATAGACTTAAATGCAAAACCTAAAACTATAAACCTTCTAGGAGAAAACACAGAGGGAAATAGTTGTGACTTTGGGTTAGGCAAAGATTTCTTAGATATGATACCAAAAGCACAATTTATTCATAAAAGAAAAATTGGATAAACTACACTTCATCAAAATTAAAAACTTATTCTTGAAAAGACACTATTAAGAAAAAGAGAAGACAGGCCACAAACTGGAGCAAAGTACTTTCAGATCATGTATCTGATAAAGGACTTGTACCCAGAATAAAAGAACTCTCAAAGCCCAATAAGTAAAAATGGGGGCAGAGAGGAAGAGGAGGAACGAACTCTGTGAACAGTACTTAATAAAAGAAGATATACAGATCAAAAATAAGCACATGAAAGGATGTTCAGCATTATTAGGGAAATGCATTAGTCATTAGGGAAATGCAAATTAAAACCATAATGAGATACCACTACCCACCTACTGGAATGGCTACTATTAAAAAGACTGACCATAACAAGTGCTGGCGAGGACATGGAGGAACTGCAATTCTCATACACTGCTGCTGGGAACGAAAAATTGTACAAACACTTTGGGAAATTGGCAGTTTCTTGAAAAGTTAAACATACACCTACTGTATGATATAGCCATTTCATTCTTAGTTATTTACTAAAGAAAAGTGAAAAAATATGGACATATTTAGACTTGTCCATAATGTTCATGGAAGCTTTATTTATAATATCCAAAAGCTGAAAATAACTCAAATGTCCATCAACAGGTAAATCGATTAATGTTGGTATATCCATACAATGGACTCAGCTATAAAAAGGAATGGACTATTTATACACATAACATGGATTCATTTCTAGTTGTCCCATTAATCCCACTCATTAGGCTGAATGAAAGAAGCTGATGGAAAAAAAGTACCTATGGAGTGATTTCATCTATATAAAATTCTGGAAAATGCATTTTGATTTATAGTAACAGAAAGCAGATCCGTATCAATGGTTGCTTGGGGCCAGGAGCCACGGGATGTGAGAAGGGTGTGGGGAGGGGCAAGAGGGAGGAATTGTAAAGAAGTAGAAGGATAAATTTCATTAACTTGATTGTGATGATGGTTTCACAGACACACATATATCGGCTTGTACACTTTCAGTATGTGCAGTTTGCTGGTCCCATTTCAATAAAGGTTTTGGTTTTAAAAAGAAATAGGTTAATTTCCTTGCAATCAGAATTTAACTTTCACCAACATACATGTTTAGATGTACATAAACACTAAAGTTAACACACAAGGAACTGTAGGCAAGTTATCTACTTTTTTGGGAAAATTCTAGTTTAGATAAAATGTTTTTTTAAAAAGCCACTAGTTTTAGTTTTCCTAACAGAATTTTTTTCTCTGGAAAGTAAGAGCTGACATCACAACTGAAGTGCTCATGAATCTTTTACTCCTTTCAAGATTATCTCAGTACAGCAAAGGAATGAATACTGGATCCATTCTTTAAAAACAAAGATTCCATGAATGACAGGGAGTTAATGTAATATTGTCTTATTTAATAATTTGTCAATGGTCAAATATGAATGGTTTTTGAGACAATAAAGTTTGAGTTCTCTTTTTCTTAACAAGTAAATAGTGGGCCTACATATTGGGTCAACATGATATTATCATTATTTTCACATCTCAAAGGTGAGGAAACAACTTAAATGCAAGTGATGATTCCTATAAAGCTATTTTTAAGAATCTGGTTTCCTAGTCATGACTGAATAAAATCTGTAATAGAAGAGTCAAGTATTTTAAAGCATTTTGTACTACATGCTTATATGACAAGAGTTAATTGATTGATTGATTGAAAGGGTCTCACTCTGTTGCCCAGGCTGGAGTGCAGTAGTGTCATCATAGCTCACTGTGACTTCAAACCCCTGGGCTCAAGTGATCCTCCTGCCTCACCCTCCCAAGTAGCTGGGACTACAGGCATGCACCACTACACCAGACTAATTTTTTTATTATTTTTTTGTAGAGACGGGGTCTTGCTGTGTTGCTCAGGCTGGGCTCAAACCCCTAGGCTCAAGTGATCCTCTCAACTTAGCCTCCCAAAGTGCCGGGATTATAGGTGTGAGCCACTGGCCCAGCTGTATCTCCTTTATTCCATTCCTATAAATTTCAAATTTAATATTAAGCTATTTCAGCACATTTTAAAGAAATGTAAGGAAGTTTTAAGGACAAAGGTGTTGGGATACTGAGGTAAAGGTTATGAAACCTCACTATGAGCAATATGAGCCACATAGCAAAATAGGGTGGAAATTAGAAATATAGAGGTAGAATGAAGGGGATATTGAGCACACTCAATAGTCTCAAGGTTGCTTGTGGAGAGTTCCAGAACTGGGATGGAGTTTGAAATGAGTGGAAAAGTGCTGGAAGGGCTCTGCAGGGAAGGTGACAGGATTCTTGGAAAACAGGATGGAAGCAACAGAGAGGGCCCCATAAGGCTGGGTTGCTCACATTACTTTTTCCTGCAAATCAGTCCAGGAATACGGTTTTCTCCAGCAACATTAACAAGCCCCAGAATCAGAGTTACAAAGGTATCTGCACAGAGATAAGGGCTTTGAAAAGGGAAGGCAGAGTGACAAGGGATTGTCAAACTGGAGACAGCAGAGTAGGGCTGTTCCAGGGATGGGTTTTGGCTAATGTAATGAAAAAGTCAATTTTTGTGAAGAAAATGAACTAAAATCTTATCTTCCAAACAGAAAGTACTTTCATTTCTTTATGTCCCTTTCCACTTTTTTTTTTTTTGAGACAGAGTCTTGCTTTGTTGCCCAGGATAGAGTGAGTGCCGTGGCATCAGCCTAGATCACAGCAACCTCAAACTCCTGGGCTCAAGCGATCCTCCTGCCTCAGCCTCCTGAGTAGCTGGGACTACAGGCATGCGCCACCATGCCCAGCTAATTTTTTCTATATATTAGTTGGCCAATTAATTTCTTTCTATTTATAGTAGAGACACGGTCTCACTCTTGCTCAGGCTGGTTTCGAACTCCTGACCTTGAGCAATCCGCCTGCCTCAGCCTCCCAGAGTGCTAGAATTACAGGCGTGAGCCACCGCGCCCAGCCACCCTTTCCACTTTTTATGTCAGAGAAAGCCAAACTTGTTTGTTCCAGGCACTGTGCTGGTGCCATTGCACAGTCTCATTTGACTCCTCTAAAGGGTTTTATTAATTCAGTTTCCTCAGCACCAGTGTTAATTTAATAGCTTCCTTTTATTTGCCTTTAGTCTAGATTGCTCGCAAGGATCAACACTTTTCTGATCTATTTCCATCTCCTTTTGTGTGAGATGTTCTTTTATATATATATATATATTTTTTTTTTCTTTTTATTTTTTTGAGAAAGAATCTCACTCTGTTGCCCTGGCTAGAGTACTGTGGCATCAGCCTAGCTCACAGCAACCTCAAATTCCTGGACTCAAGTGATCCTCCTGCCTCAGCCTCCCGAGTAGCTGGGACTACAGGCATGTGCCACCATGCCCGGCTAATTTTTTCTATATATTTTTAGTTTTCCCAATTCATTTCTTTCTATTTTTAGTAGAGACAGGGTTTTGCTCTTGCTCAGGCTGGTTTCGAACTCCTGACCTTGAGTGATCCACCCACCTTGGCCTCCCAGAGTGCTAGGGTTACAGGCGTGAACCACTGTGCCCAGTCCGAGATGTTCTCTTTTAACAAGGTATAATTTCATTAACAAGTATGGACAGGTAATGCAAGAATTCTATTTCAAGATTATTTAAGAGATCTTCATGTTACCTTACTTTTCTGCCCCTACATCACTTATCAGCCCACTGCTATGCTGTATCCTTTATCCCATCTCACATTTTAGTCCACACTCCACTGCTGGTACTGTTTGTAGGGTCACAAACTTAGGGTCAGGACCACTTGTCGAAGCTAAGATCCTACACCTCCTCTGCTTGTCACTTCTGTATGGAGTTTAGAACAGCCTCCCTATCACCACCCTTGCCCTGGCACTCACTTTGGATTTCTTCTCCCTCAGCTCCTTCTCTATCTCATCCCCACTACCACCACCAGAGAAGCTGGTCTGTGTTCACCTTGCTCCCACTGCGCATCACATCAATTAAATAGAGGGTTTCCAATTGGTCTCCCACTTGGGTTTGGGAGCTTCTGGTTTAATTCCAAGTACCTGAGTGTCTACTATATACCAAGAATTATGCAAGATAAGGTTTGTGTCTTCCTATCTCCAGGGGTAGGTGGATATTGAATGTACACATGAATGCATGAGATTGAGAGGTACACGTAAGAACTAGCAGATCTGAAATTCCATACAAAATACTGACAAATTCAACTCAGCCCTTGATTTTTCCCAATCTCAAAGAGGTGCTAAAAACAAGGGACCCCTCCAGGATCTTTGTTAAGTACACACATTCTGGTAAGGGCAGAAATGCATGCGAGACTGCAGAAGGGCACAATGATTTCTAAATAGTGTTGGGTCAAAGGCCCATGCTACAGAGAGCCCAGAGGCAATCTCTCCAACTCTTAAGATCATGGTTTGGGAGACCCACTCCCTCACACAGGAATATGTCACTCTGTTCTTCCATGCCTTTATTGGTGACAGCAATGGACAAGAACGATACCACGCATAACAGATACCTAGCCCAGCACCTGCAGTGCTAGGCAGGCCCTGCATAGCCATCAGCACATCCAGCCCCAGCCCAAGATCCAGCCTACCCAGGCCATGTCCCCGAATGGGCAGGAGGCCGTCTGTCCAGTTTGTATGTGTGGATCAGTCTGTCTGAGTGCCTGAGCCGCTGTCTGCAGGGTCCCCCCGTCCTCGGCACATGGTAGGGGCCGCTAGGAACACAGCGTGACATCCCCCGGTGGACCACCGGGCCCCGGTGCTGACCATGGGGATTAGAGCCAGGGACTGGAGGTGGCAGGGGGCCAGGCACAAAGTTCATTCCAGGGCCACATCCTACAAAAGAACCAGTCATTATCAGAGTGGGCTTCTGACCAGGGTGAGTGCAGCTCTGCCTTCAGGCAGCTCTGGTCCTCCACCTGAGCTGCTCTGGGATTTAGTTTTTCCACCTGCAAAAGAGTGATACCTCTTCCCCTCTCTCCAGGCTTGGAAATTGTGACAATTATTGAGCTGATTAAGGAGTCTACAGATGCTATTCAAACGCAAGGATTGCTGTAACCAAACCTGATACTGGGGGTGAAGGGGAGGACAAGGGGCTACCTAACTCCTTTTAGCTCACCTGGGCACAGGAGGAAGCTACAAGGGAAGATACAAGGGGAGGCTGCATAGGTACCTACCTAAGTGGGGTGGCATCGAGAAGTCCTCTGCTGGATTATGATTGAAGAATTCTTGGGGTGGGAAGGGCTGGCCTGGGAAAAAAGGGGCATCCTGGGGCAGGGGTGGGAAGAGGGGAGGTGGAGAAGGCTGAGGAAGAGGGTAGGGAAGAGGCATGGGAGGGGGCAAAGGAGAGGGTGGGGGTGGGGGCAAGGCCAACTGTTCCCCGAAGTCAGGGGACTGCCCACGGCTTCCCTGGAACAGATGATCCATCTCTGGCCAGTCCTCCATCCACGGATCTAGGAAAGGGATGGTTGTTTTAGGCAGGCCTGGGGAGCCAGACGGCCCTGAACTCTGGCCATCCACTTCCATCCACATTTCCAAAGCTCTACTCCCTCCTGTTGGAGAACAGCGAGAGCAGGTGGAGAACTTTGTGCCTTCTACTCAGTCTTCCTCACTCCCTCTCATTTCAGGCCAAGGCCAAGGTGTGTTCCCTCTTTCTGCTTCTCAAGATCTACCTTTATTCTGACCTCCATTTCTGTCTTTCCATCCCCCACACCCATGCCTAGGTAGAGGTACCCCTGTTTCTTTCCTGTTCATCTGTTGAGGAAATGTCTTTTAACAAGTGGCCTTATGTGATCAATGCTTACATAAGCTTGTTCACGTACAAAGAGGTGACCACATGGCTAGACCATAGAACATTGGAACTCAGACTAGAACATTGCGCCTGTGATCTAACCCTTCTCAGGGGATGAGGGAAGAGCACTCAGGAGCCACAAGTCCTTCAATGCCCCCTACTCCCCTTGAGTAGCTCTCTCACATTCCATTTCTGAGCCCTGTGCTCTGAGGGCCCTCTCTGCATCACTACCCTCCCAGCTTGTGACAGGGCTCACCAGGGGAGTAGTCACGCTTGGGCAGCTCCACGCCCCAGGCATCAGCCACATGGGTCAGAAGCAAATGTGAGAGGTGGCGGTGTGCATGCTGGTCCCAGTGGACACCGTCCCGATGACGGTGCTGTACTGCATGCCGGAAATGAAAGTGGAGGTCCAAGACGTCGAAGCAGTGGTCCCCAGCCAGGGTAGCACTGTAGAAGTTCCCTTCAACCACATCCCGCCGCAGGGAGCCTGCCAGAGGCTGAAGCTGAGTGAGAAAGTGCAACCTCTAATAGCCACAAAATGAAGCAGGGTCGGGAAGGAGGGTCCCCTATCTACCAGCCAGCTGTCCCATCTCTTGCCCAAAGGGGTCTCAGTCACTTGCCTCTGGCAGGAGGAAACCCCCAGTGACACGCTCCCCAAGGGGCATTGCCATGTTCCACACCAAGAGGCAGGAGTCTGGCAACACTTGGTCCATGCGCACGAATACCCGCTGCAGGTTCTCTCGGTAGCTCTCCATTGAGCAGCGGCCATACCTGTTGGGTACCACACAGGGTGGGCAAGAGCACAGGGGTGGTCTACTCCCAACCAGTATTTCCCTTTCCCCCGCCCAACCTGGAGAGATCCCAGAGGCAGGAGTTGATGATCACCAGGTCCGGGGCAGGCCCGTATGTCAGCTCCTCCAAGACGTCCTCGAGGTACTCAGAGTAAACGCGGGTGAGGAAGTAGAAGCGCACAAGGTGGTGGCCAGAACCCGAGCAGAACTGGCGGACCTCGCGGTACTGTGTCCCGTTGTGCAGCTCGCCCAGCTGGCCCCCAGCCACCAGCTGGTCCTGTTCAAAGCTCAGCTCCCCCTACCCGGCCCCCACCCCTTGGGTCAGATCCATGCCAGGGAGGAGGACCCTGCCAGGCCAGGGTCTGCACCCACCCACCAACAGCATGGCCACCAAGCTTCCCTCACCTTGGCTTTCAGCTGGGCAGCTGTGAGCAGTGAGTCTTTCTGGAGCAGGAGCACCAGGTCCTTGTACACAGCCCGCTGGACTGTGGGGAGACAGAGATCCTAAAGGTTTGGAAGACCTCACACCACCCCAGATCTTCCCAAGTCCAGGCCTCCCATCTTCCCAGGGCTGGGCTCCCCAACACCAGCTCTGTGGAGTGCTGACTTGGAGGCAGGAGAAAAGGTGAGGTTAAAAAATCTTGGCACTGCCTCTGTTCCTTCTGTCTGTCTCCCCGATAACACTACATAGTGACCCAAGATCACCTGGCAGGAGTTAAGTCAACCAAGTCACTCAGGAGACACACACCACAATCCACCACTCTCATGAAGGAAATTATGGGGGACTGTGAGGGAGGGAAATGCTGAGCGAGGATGGGATAAAAAGTGCACAGGCTACATCTGTCAGGACACCTGTGGCAAATGTGTGAGAAAATAAAGAGAAGAGAAAGCTTACTGGACTATAACAGACAGAGAGGAGCTTTGAAATGGAGACACAGGGTCTAGACATAGAGAACAGGCTAGGCTGCAAGGTGCGGGACTAGGAAGCGTCATCCCAGAGGGGGCACTCACTGGAGTCCCCCAAGATGACCACGAATTTGTTGTGTAGCAGCTGCTGGACTTCTGAGGCCTGGAAGTGGACCATGGCGCTTCGCAGTGGGCGGCGCGGCTCCTCGTTTTCCAGACAGAAGACCATGCTGCCACAGACAACGACGGGCTGCAGGGACAGGACACTAAGCCACGCGAGGGCAGGGACTCAGGGAAAGTCAGCTCCAGGGCCCGCCCCAGGATGAATAAGACCTGTGCCAACCCCTCCCGGATGGCTCAGAGCTACAGAGAGGAGGTCACGGCGGCAGAGGGGGACCCATGGTGATGCTAGTCTTGGCCATACTTGGACGGGAGGCAGGGGGTCACCCTGCCGGCCTCCAGGGCACCCAGGCGCTTCCCGCGCGGCGCCGCCCTGAGCCCCGCCACGTGCCCGCCACCGTCTCGCGCATGCGCGCGCGCCCGCCCGCTCACGCCCATTACCGAGTCCTGGGGTTCCGCGCTGTTCACCCGCGACCAGGGCAGGTCTGGGCACCGCGCGCCTCGCCCGCAGCGGGATCCGGGCTAAGCCTCATGTTCCCGCGCCTCGGGCGGCCAGTCGGTTCTGCAAAGCCCTCGCCCCGCAGAGCCCGTGGGTTCCGGTGAGCCGTCGGTGCGCAGCCCGGCGCCCAGTGCTCTCCATGCGTGCGTCGCGGTGGCCCCGACGGCGCCTCAGGCCTTGGCGCCCCGGGCGCGACGCTCACAGTTTTCACTTCCGGTCACCCATGTCCCTCCCTGAGCGACCCCCAGCGCCCAAGGGGACAGGAAAGCGAGGGGGGTGACTGCGGCGGGGGACAGGAGCCCAGGCCGGGCCCACCTGGGGGGCGTGAAGCCCAGGTACGGGCGGGGGGCGCGGCGGCGGCCAAATGCGACTGCCCACAGTGGTGATGGCCGCGGCGGCGGCCTCGCCACGTGACCCAAACGGGCGGAAGCGGAAGTGCCGGCCTGGAGCCCCTGGTAGGTGGGTGTCCCCGCAGCGCTGCCCAGCCGCTGCCTGCGCCAGCCAGCCATGGACTGCTACACGGCGAACTGGAACCCGCTCGGGGACTCTGCCTTTTACCGGTGAGCCGTCCCGCCCTGCCGCCCACGTCCCGGCTTACCCTGCTAGCCCGCTGGCTCGAGTCTACAGGCGGAGCCGGCTGCGCTGGTCCCCGTCACTGCTGGCGCTGGGGTCCACCCCGCGCCGGCTTTCGCGGAGTGTCTGCCAGTTAACGCACAGCCGGCTATGGGCAGGGAGCCGGGCCTTCCCCTGCTCCAGAGAAGGAAACTGAGGCAAGCACGATGGTTACCCCAAGCCCAGGTTTTTGAGCCTCCGGAAGGATGCTCAGAGGGAGGTCGCCTGCGAGTGACAGCCAGTGCCCAGTCTCCTGCCGGAAAGTGCTGCTGAAGTCAGACCACAGGGGCGCTCCGAGGGGGGCGGGATCGCACGGCGGGCGGGGTAACAATGCTGACCAAGGCTGGGAGAAGGGGGCAAGTCGTCAGTGAATCCCGGTGCACCGGGAGTGAGCACCCCTGGCTTGGGGCAGCTCTCATGGGAGTTGTAGAGTCCTAAACCACGGATCTTCCTAAAGTATAGACCGATCACATCATTACCCTGATCAGTATTTTTCTATAGCTTCCCTACTTTCTAGGATAAAGTACTAACTACTTGTGGAACATCTATCTGTAAGGCGGACCCTTTTTGGCTCCTTGTCTTTCCAACCTCATTTACTGCTCTCCTACCCAAATCTTGTGTTCCAGCCTCGCAGAATTACAGGAACACCACATACAAGTGGTGTTTCATGGCTCCCTATGTTTGTACCAGTCTTCAGTTCCTTTTGTGGACACTGCCGTTTCTGTCTTTATCTCACTGAAGACTGTTTTTTTGAGACAGAGTCTCCCGCGGGGTGGGAGTGGCAGTGCCACCATCATAGCCCACTGCAGCCTTGAACTTCTGAGCTGGAATGAGCCTCCCGCCTCAGCCTCCTGAGTAGCTGGGACTACAGATGCAGACACCAAGCCCATCTGATTTTTTGTAGAGACAGTGTCTCTTTATGTTTCTTGCCCAGGGTGGTCTGGAACTCCTGGCCTCAAGCAATCTTCCTGATTTAGCCTCCCAAAGTGCTGGGATTACAGGTGGGAGCCATGACGCCTGGCCTCTTACTGAAAAATTCTTGCTCATCCTTCAGGACTTAGTTCAGTGGTTCTTTCTGGAACCTTCCCTGATTCTCCCCCAGTAGAATCTTTGGGCTTTATAGGGCCCGGTGCTAGGGTCCGTTTTGTATGGCCCAGTAGGGCAATAGTTGTATATATCTCTTCTGCTTAACCACACTCATTAAGGGCTGAGAACATATTTATTGCACCTCTTTATCTGCAATGCATATCAGGAATAGTGCTTGCTATGTAATATTTGCCCAGTAAAATGTTTAACAAATATTTTATTGAGCTGAGTGCGGTGGCACACACCTGTAGTCCCAGCTACTTGGGACTTGAGCCCAAGAGTTGGAGTACGTGGGTAACGATTGTGCTGTTGAATAGCCACTGTACTCCAAGCCAGTGCAATGTGGCAAGACCCCGTCTCTAAAACATAATAAAATAAAAATATCTTATTGATTGCAACTAATGATCACAAAGACTTTGTATTGGGGTCTTATTTCAAGAGCAAACAATCATTTGTGCTAGTGAAACTATGTACTGTTCTCATTTACATATTAAAACTTTTAAATGTAAATTTTGATACACAATGTGACACACTTCCTAAATGGACAAATGCCCTGTGACAATTTTTAGAGATCTGTTGCATTCATTGTTTATTCATAATTTTCTTAGAAATTTGCTATACAGTATGAAAAAATTACAAAAACATAGTTAAAAATCTATAAAATCAGTAGGAAATAATGATTTCAACTGTTTCTGTGGAGAAGTGATATCAGCTGACAAAGGTAGCCATTTCATTTAATAATACATACCGGCTATTTGTACAGTACTCACTTTTTAAAGTATTAACTTATATTACTTTGAAGATACATGTTGCCTGACCTGGCCTGTTAAATCAGACAGAACTGGGGCCAATGGCTGACCTTACCACAGAGCTCCTGTTTATCATATGAAGTCTTAGCTTTGTTGATGCACCAATGAAGTTTTAAAAGAATATAAGTGTTGAGTGCATGCCACAGACATGACCTGAATGACTAACCTACCTTTACCTGTACCGCCATACTGCCAGAAAGGATTGGGAGTCTAAGCCTTGCTGTGGAGGATATTTATGTCCTAAGTCATTAACAGATATTGAGCCTTTGTTGTGTACTAAAAGTTATGCTAATTAATTTACATATATTAACTTGCATAAGCCTCACAAGCCCATGAGTTAGGTACCATCTTACTGATAAGGAAGCTGAGGCACAGAGAGAGGAGGTTATACGGGTGGTCAGCTTACACAGCTAGTAAGTGGTGGAGCTAGGATTTGAACCCAAACAATCTGGTTCTGGACCCCATGCTAAAACATAGAGTTTTTTGGATTTTTTTAAACAGGAAAATGTAAGATCATGTTCTAGCTTCTCTACCAGAGTGGAAATGCTTTAAGGACAGGTACTTGGTTTTTTTCCCTATGTGTGCATAGCCTTATGCATAGTCAGGACTTAATACATGTTTAAGTAAGTGGATGAATGATAAACAGGTGGCAGACATTGCATTTCCAGTCCTACAGCAAGAGGGAATTCTTTTGCCTTGGAAGTAGTGTTCTGGAGAACTCACTTTGGGAAGGCAAGGAGAAGAAATGATGACCAGTTCTTATGGGACTCTAAAGGTCAAGCCATTTTTTATCCCAAAAATGCAATTTGGACTAATCTGATTAATTTGGCCCAACCCTTTGCTTGGTTGAGCCTATATCGTATCGACCATTAAAGCAGACATGGACCCTGCCTGACCTCATAGAGCTTAGCAGGCAAGTCAGTTGACAATCACTAAGTATTTGATTATAATCACTGTGAAGGAAGGTATAGGAGTATATAACCTAAGAGAGCATATAATGGATTGGGGGGTGGGTCAGAGCTAGAGAAGACTTTCCGAGAGAATTAATATCCCATCCAGGTGATGAGTAAACGTAGGTTCAGGAAGTAGGATAGAAAAGAGCACATATAGAAAGGTCCTGAGGCAGGAAGGACTGAGGCACTCATAGTGGCCTAAAGAGAGCCAGTGTGGCTGGAATGCCATAGGCAACAGGGGCAGGACATGAGATAAGGTTGATGTAGGGACTTGTAGACCACTTTTATCTGAAGGAAAATGGGAAGCCGCAGTTAAAGGGTCTTAACAAAGGATTGATGTGATTGCATTTGCAGGGGATGGGAGGTTGTGTGTATGTGTTTTAAGTTCCTTTTGGAGGCAATAGGGGGAACAAATTGGAAGGGGCAAGCAAGAATGAAAGCAGTGGAGATTGGTTAGGAGCCTGGTGGAATAGACCAGGGACGAGTTGAATGTGGTGAGTACTGAGGTGTTGATGGTTGAGGTGGAGAGAAAGGAACTGTCTGAGAGATTTAGAGGATAAAATGGAAAGAGTTTGTAATGATTGCACTTGGTGGGGAGGAGGAAGAGCAAGGAATCAAGGATGACTTGGGATTTTAGCTGCAAATCACAAGAAAGGAAGAGTGGAAAGAGTTTGGCAGAAAAGAAAGTGATCTTGGTTTTGAATACATAGAGTTTCAGGTATTTTAGAAATATCCTTATGGTAAAAGAAAGGAGAGCGAAGATACATTATATACTCCAGAAATTATTTATTTATTTATTTATTTATTTTTTGAGACAGAGCCTCACTCTGTTCCCCGGGCTAGAGTGCCATGGTGTCAGCCTAGCTCATAGCAACCTCTAACTCCTGGGCTCAAGCGATCCTACTGCCTCAGCCTCCCAAGTGACTGGGACTACAGGCATGTGCCACCATGCCCGGCTAATTTTTTTCTATATATTTTTAGTTGGCCAATTAATTTCTTTCTATTTTTAGTAGAAACAGGGTCTTGCTCTTGCTCAGGCTGGTCTTGAACTCCTGATGTTGTGCAATCTGCTGGCCTCAGCCTCCCAGAGTGCTAGGATTACAGGCATGAGCCACCACACCTGGTCTGAAATTATTTTTTGAAGGGAGGATAACTTAAGTAGTTGTGTTTTTCTTTTGTTTTGCAATTTGCATGTATAAACCTGAACATTTCTAAAAATTGTGGTTAAACAGACATAAAATTCATCATCTTAACTATTTTTGAGTGTGCTGCTTAGTAGTGTTAAGTATACACTCATTGTTCTGTACCCAATCTCCAGAACTTTTTCATCTTCCCAAACTGAAATTCTATAAAGGAATTGACTGAAGGGCACACACACACCCCTGAAATTCTATACCCATTAAACAATAACCCGTTTTCTCCTCTGCCCCAGTCAACCTCTCCTCCACCCCATGGCAACCACCATTCTATTTTCTGTTGTCTCTGAATTTGATGACTCTAGGTGGTACCTCATATAAGTGGAATTATACAGTATTTGTCTATTTGTGACTGCTTATTTTACTTAGTGTAATGTCTTCAAGGTTCATTTTGTAGCATGTGTCAGAAGGTTCTTCCTTCTTAAGACTGAATAATATTTCATTGTATGTGTATACCACATTTTGCTTATCCATTCATCCATTGCTATACACTGGGTTGCTGTCACCCCTTGGCTATTGGGAATAATGCAGCTGTGACCATGGGTGTACAAAATATCTCTTCACTCTGCTTTTAATTTTTTTGGGTTTAACCCAGAAGTGGAATTGCTGGATCATACGGTAATTCTATGTTTAATTTTTTTTAGAAACTGCCATACTGTTTTCCACAGCAGCTGCTGCACCATTTACATTCCTGGCAACAATGCCGAAGAGTTCTTTAGTAGTATTTGTTTTTAAGATAGAATGGACTCTAGGGCTTGGGGATTTTGGAG